TTAGCTAAATAATTGACAACGCTTAAAATAATCAGGAGCAAATGAACAAAATGAAGAACATTGTGGTGAAAGGAAGCAAACAAAAGATTCTCAAGGCTGTAAACCTTTGTGTGGTTCCTGCAAGTCCTCTTTCACTCCCTTTGGCAGCCTACATTGAAAGTCAAGTCAGGTTTACATTTGCACTTCTGTGGGGAAAATTTGCTACCAGCCTGCTGTTTGAACCACACATCATAGAGGACTGAAAACTGGCAAGGACACTAGAATTTATCCTGTAAAAATAGATAAATAAGAGTTCTGTTTTGATTCAGGTTTTATTTTCTTGCATTTTATGACTTCTGAAGAGACTGCTTTGGCAGGCAAGCATACATCAGCTTGGCTGGGTGAAAACTCCTGCACTGTATTTGCAATATTCACTTAGTGACTCTCCAGCAAGTTCTGTGTTTCAAGCTCCAAATTCACAGCAGAATACACTGAATGCACACATGGACCTTGGTGCAACAGTGCCAGAAATTTTTACAAAAGTGCAACCTTCACAAAAACAAAGACATGAATAGGCATGAAAGGGAGGAATTAAGTGATAAGACAATTATGCAATACCTCCTCCCTCACCATAAGCTCCAACCCTATGTGCTAGGCTACTCCCATTATACAAATGTAGGTAGACGGCTGTTAGAAACCAGGTGAACTACACCTAACACAGCAGCCCCCAGAAAGTCAAATCCAAATGAAATAAAAGCACCTTATAAGAGAGCTTGCTAAAACCTTGCAACGAGATATCTGACAGTTCAGGCACAGATTCATGCAGCCTGTTCAGCAAGTCACAGCAAGGCAATTTATCAGGTGGCCATCTCTCATTATAGTTTCAATGATCATTTCTGTGTCTGAAAGAAAGGGGGAGGTCTTGGCCAAGTCACTTAATCTCTTCTTCATTCCTGCTAAGAAAGATGGATGCTCAGTCTTTTCCCCCGAAGAATTAGCTTTTGTGGTCCTAAACTTTCAATTGCATTCATTTTAACCCAGACTGACAAAAATAGTCTTTAGTGCAGGGTATTAAGAAACATAAATTGCATCCAAGACACCATTACTCACAGAAAGAAAAAAACAAACAAATAAAAAAAAAAAATTTCACCTACAAGCAATTTCATCTAGACAAGTGTGCATCTTCCTCATCTGATATCTGTACAGTCAGGACCACAGAAATGCTGCCACCAACAAAACTCTCAAGCACTTCTCCTCTGTTAGAACAAGCTATAGGGGGACAACTCCTCTAGCCCAAAGCCTACTTCTGCAGGTTGGTCAAGCTTTTTATACCTTAACACCTACCTTGTGGATTTTGCCTATCTTAACCACTTAAATCCACCTAAGCTCAAGTTCACCTAAGCCAGCAGAGCTGCTGATCCTGGTACTTCTACATGCGAGTCAAGACCTCATTTCCAGAGGTTATCAAGAGTTCAAGCAACTGTCACAATAGATATAGTCCAATTTTAGAGATATTTGGGCATAAAGAAGCTAAAAAGCTTTCAAGAGTTAGGAAATAACTGTATTTGCCAGACAGCAGTCAAGATTGCAGTAATTTTTTCCTCCTGTCATTTGATCACACCTTCAAAAAGAGATTTCTATGAGAAGTTCCTGTTTTTTTTGACAGCAACAGGATTTTAGTCAGAACCAAGGAACTTCTGTGTATTGCTGTGCTCTATTAGTACAGCATATTAATGACCCAAGACTCTTGGATGCTTCTTCCATATCAAATACAAGATGAACTTCATACAAGGGAAGATTCTGGCTGGGCTCTATCCTGTGCAGGAAGATACACCTGAAGGAGGCGAGCAATTTAAAAAGCTTTCTCAGCTAATAGGCACTGATTTCTTTAAAGAAGATAATGACGTTGCAGCTAAGAATACTTAGAAAGGCCTAACAAGGCAGCTTATTTTTGAAATAGTCCTACAGGCCACAATTTCTTAGAGGTTGTTGCTCTGTATGCAGCTCATGACCTTCCCTTACCCCACTGCCAGCAAGCAGGAAACAAGAGCAAAATACCCGAGCCGAGATGGACATTATGGGGGCACAACCTCATATTTACTCTTTTTGCCTCTAGACATGGTCTCCACAATGATGGAAGTAACAAGTCACTCATTTTTACACAGCATGCATTCAGGACTGTGTTAAATACCAAGTGCTTGGCATTATAGGGCTCTAATGACAACTAGCACACTGTCAAGAGTTACTTTACAAGAGCTGAGCCGTGACAGCAGCTTTCTAGTACTGCTGGACACCGTGTTCCATCTCAACAACATCCAAAGTTCAATTCATTGCTGACCAAGAATCCTCTACTCAGTCCACTGAAAAATTTCTTCAGAGGAGAAGGCAGTAGTGTTATACCATACAGTAGGAGAGATGTGGAGCTGACATGGAGTTGACTCCACATGAGTGGAGATGCAGAGATTGGCATTCACTATACATAAGTTTTCAACTCACTTTCTCCAGGTATAATATTCACCAGACCCTTACGGTCTGTTTAGTACACAAAGTCTTTGCACAGTTATATGTAACCTTCATGGTAACAGAGCTTGAGACTCCAAAGCTTCATCTTAAATAAATCCACACAGAGTGGCACCAAGGGCAGAATACTAATACCCATGAGGAAGACTTTGCAATGCGTTTAAGGAAAGACCTAAGGCCTAATAGGAAAGGCAAAAATAGAAGACAGAGGCAGAGGAGAAAGGGGAGGGGAGAAGGCAAGAAGAGAATAGCTCTAATGCTTATATATTAAAAAAAAAAAAAAAAAAAAAAAAAAAAAGGTAATCTGGGCAAGTAAGCAAGGAGCTCTGGAACTACTAGCATAGGACATAGTTGGCTGTTTTAAAAGTCAGAGAAGGATAGAGTAATCCATCACACAGGGAACAAAGGTGCACTACTTCAGGATTTAGAGATAGAAAAGGTGACCAAACAGCACTGTGTGTTAATTATGTGATACAGGTGTTCTGAATCAGTTAAAAATAAATACTTCAGGGTAGAGTGAAGTGGCAAGTCAGGAACTTCACTGTCAATGGAATCAATTAGTGCAGGAGTTAATCCATATCTAAATCTGGCAATAAAGAAGTATTACTAGGAAACAGGTCTTCATGGCAGGCTAAATTCCCACACCTAAATTGTAGAGCTGTGCTAAGTCCTCATTATTTTCACGAAAGTTAGATTTCTTTACCAGCGAATAAATAGGGGGAGATGTAATTTAGATCCTGTTTTGATAATTATTGCATTGAATGTTCACATATTCATTCATCTAGATAAAGAAAGCACAAAGTCAGCCTGTAATTCTGTGATTTTCAAAGTGCATCTTTTGAGAATTTAAGAGAAATCTGATGGCCAAAAGAACTGAATGAAAAGAATGAACTACGAAGGAGAATTGCATTGAATTACTTAAGTCAAAAAGTGGAAAAATGCTCCCCCCAGCACCATCTCCCACCAGAAGTAGTAATTAAAAACGAGAATGGGAAAAACAGTAGCATGCACCACATTAATTGGGAAGAATTTCCAATTTCAAACATTTAATGAAGTTTTTATGATTTGCATAGTAGTTAGCAAGGAAGAAAAGGCACATATTGATCAAACGGCAGTTTCTCCAAGAGTAAGAAATGAAGTAAAAAAATGCCAAAAGGCTGGAGTGTGTAGCTCAGCTAAAGCAGCAAAAGGTCCTTCAGTCTTACAAGTGCACAGAGATCAGAAAAGGGAGGTATGGGGAAATAAAGCCATCAAGTACACTCCTGACGTGAAGGGTTAGTTTTCGGAAGAGAGGGAGTATCCTGGGAGGGGGGTGGTGGTGAATGGATCTCACAGAATAAAGCAGCTTCTCTTAAGAAAGAAAAAAAGTCCTGTAACAGAAATTCTAGTCACTTCCAATGCACACCTAAAAGTTATTTTATTTATTTTTAAGTGGTATTAGTGAGAAAGAGATGCATGCCACATTTTCTCTGAAAACGAGCTATTATTAAAGTAAAAATTACTGTTAGGACAGTTACTCTGTCCTACCTGCTTTAGAAGGGGCTGCTGAAGTAAATTGCCCGGTCTCTGTCTATGGCCAGTAGAGGTGAATTTCTAGTAGCTAATTCATGTTCTTTGTACTAGGCATTTATTTTAGAACAGGTAAAATAGCTTCCTACAAGGGACTCTATATACTCATAGAAAGGACAGACTTTTAGAGTCAGTGTCTAATGCTAAGCAAGTTGAATCTCTCCCAACACATGAGGTCTTGACTCTGGTTATCTGATGGAGGTGAGAGAAGACAAAAAGAAAACAGGTCACCTAGCTCAGTTGACTCAGGATCAGGGATGCTGAAGAGAAAAATATTTAGAGACAGCTAAAGCTTTGCTTTTGTTTTCAAATGTAGAAACACAGAGATGAAACCTGAAAATTATGGCTAGACAAGACAGTTCCAGAATAGTAGCTGTGGTTTTAAACTATGTTGTTGAAACGCAGCAGCATGTGACTCTTCCCATTTAGCACTGTATCCACCACTGTAAGTACCTCTGTATCCTCTGTTGCAAGACTTCAATTTTTGAAGAAATAAAATCCAAGCACTACTTCTATATATCTAGAGTGTGGTACTGTTTTATTCTTTTTTATAAAAACACTTTGATCTTCAAAATAAGTTAGCATAAAATAGAGAATAGGTCCTTTCTTTCCTCCTTAATCACATACCCTCAGCTTCTCAAATAGAAGGAAATTGAAAAAGTTAAATATTTAAGAGGAGAACATTATTTGAAGAGGGAAAACAAACAAACAAACTTCCTTTACCACCACACACACACAGGCTATCTTGGCCAGTAAAGTCTAATAGCATGACAGAAAACCCAGAACTTCAGTTCAGTAGTTTGGAGCCAATGAACCAGATGCCCCTGCTGAAAGAATTTCCAAAGGCATCGGTTTTTGTACAGAAATGGTAAATATAAGTTTCACATAACAAGGAGAGAAAACAAGAGTAGTCAGATTCAAACTTTACTTACTAATATTGATCTTCAGAGTACATCTTCCTTCTCTGCACTTCGTCTTGCCTTTTCTTAGCTTCAAGCCTCTCTGCCTGCAGCATTAAAAACAGTAAATCATTGTTGGGATTTCTGATAGGCAAGAAACAAATTATTTCAGTATTCGGGTTTTCAAAATAACAATTGTAGTAGTTGGGTACACAAGTGACTCAATCCCAAATTAAGAAGTATTGAAACGTGACCAGGAGCCTTAGACAACTCCGTAAACTTGTCAAGGGACCAGTCTGCAGCACAAAAACCCTCTGATTTCCCTGGCAGACACACACACCCTCACAGAGGGCCTCGTTAGGCTTTGCAGCTCCCAAGCTGTAATGCTAAGGCCATCTCTAGGATTAATTGATGCAGCTTAATGGAACCCATACGTGAGTGATGATATGGGCTACTCCGAGACGTGGAAGCATTTGCAATTAGATTAGCTGTTGGGTGATGATGTTCCTGTGGCTCTCAGCTCTGCTGCTCCAGTAGCAGCAACAAGAGCACACAATGCTCTGCACGTAGATCTGTGGCCTCTGGAAGCTTTAGGTCCTGAGCAGTGCAAAGATAAAAGTCATATCTGCACTTACCCAGTGCTATTCTATTTCAGATACCATGCCCAGTGCAAGTGTCCACCCAAGTTTTGACGCACACAATTCCTGAGGACATCTGGACAAAGAAGTAACCAGCCCCTTTAAAACATTTAAAATGGGATGCAATGCCCTTGTGGAAGAGCTGGTTAGGTACCTACGCCCTGTCCCTTCCTTCCCCCAAAACAAGAGAAAACTGCAAATTCCTCCTCAGCATGTACTGGATTCAAAAAAAGAAAGCAACCAACAAAAACCGCAACCCTGTCAGATGTCTACAGATCAACACAAACAAACAAAAACACAAAGGCATTAGGTTGTATAATAACAATACAGATACTGAAAGGTAAATGACTTGGAGGTTGCTTTTCTGGAAGAGGCAATGGGGGGAAAAAATAGGAAGGAAGTGCTCTCTGAATAAGGTGACCAGTCAGTGAGGATGTTGAGATATTTGTAAAAGGTATACACTACTGACCTAATTAAAATAGGGGAGATATACCAGCCATTTCTATATTCTTTTGTGGAATACCTTGCCTGCTCCTAACTATCCTACCCAGAGATGGATAATTTTAAGCCAAAACTTCCACTTATCTGCACAACTTAACAATTTACATTTCATCTTCTGTTTCACCCAGGTTTCACAAACAGATCTTGTAGCAGCAGACTTGGAAAGCATTTGGAAAGCACTTCAGCACCAGAGAGCTGAAATATTCAGACCCACTATTCATTTAAAGGGGGCAACATTTTCAGTACTAGTGAGATAACACTGCTAAGCAGACTCCATAAAAAACACAGAATGATCCATATTGGAAAAGATCCTTACGGGACCTGGTCCTACCCTGGCTAACGAGCAAGAAACTAAATCTTGGCTAATACAGATAGCATCTGTACCACTAACAGTGATGTTGGCACCCCTGTGACAACAGGGACAGGGCCCAGGCTTTCTGCCACCCTCTGCTCAATGTTGAAGCTGATACTTATGCCTTTGAAAGAACATATACAGAGAGGGGTCAAAGCTAAGATAAATTTCAAGTTAAAATCCAAAGCTTACCAGGGTTGCCATGGCCTTGCTCTCAGCTAGAAGAATGATACTAAATTTGATCAATCTAATTCTTCGATATTACCTCCCCAGCTCCCAGTAGATAAAAGAGAAGCAAACACTCTATACTTATTCCAGCATCAGAGTGGTGCTGGAAGAAAACTCCAGCACATGGAAGTTATTTTCTATAACAGGATGGTGTAACTGCTGCCTAGCCTGAAAGTTTACCTTGGGATTCTGCTTAGGGCACATAAATATGACAGAAAAAGCAAATGGGATATTCTCTAAGTAATGACAATCTATCAATAAACACTGCCAAAGCACTTCACATTTGGCACCGTCTTCAAAAATAAAGCCAAGAGTGGAACAGCTGTGATATGAAGGTAAACATGTTGAAAAGCATTAGCAGAATGTCTGTAAAGTGCCTGGTTTTAGCAAATTCCCGGAAAAGACCATTCATGTTGATTAACACAGTCAAATTAAAGAGCACATGATTTGATAAAAAATAAAATGAAGTTACAGCTCATTTTAAATAGGGCAGCTTCAGAAGATGGCATGACTGTTTCTAAGCAATGTAAAAGCAGAAGAAGAGTCGGTTTCACACTGGAATAAACTTGAACATTTTCACTTCAACTCTTCTGAATCTTTCTACATTTACATGAGTCCTAGAACACTGAGGAAATCCTAAGTGCAGGATAATAGGAACACAGATTGAAGGGCAGAAAATTGAAACATGTCATGTACTGAAATTTGGCTTCTTAATCATACAGATCTCTGCATGTGTGCTGTATGCAAAACAGCACAACTTTAGTGCTACAGGCTCATTTTCCTGGAAATCTGGCTGCCCTTTCATCCAAAAGGACTCAAATTAAGTTGTGGTTTAGCCCAGGAGAAATCGGTGATGCAGAAGGCTACACAGAATACAGCAAACTGCAGATGCCTCTACAAATGAGCAGAGAATAACAATGCTACTTCCCCACACACTCCCACACTTTCTGCAGATCAGACACCCACCTCAGTATTAGGGCCAGGTATTAAAACACATAAGCAAAAAAAACTCCAAAATTATTTCACAGAGTCACAGACTGGTTGAGGTTGGAAGGGACCTCTAGAGATCATCTAGTCCCTGGTCCAGCAGGGACATCCAGAGCACAGGGCACAGGGCGGCATCCAGGTGGGTTTGGGAGATCTCCAGAGAAGGAGACTCCAAGATCTCCAAGAAGGGAACTGCTTTGACAGTCCCCCATTTTTCTCTCCATCACAAACATAAAGGAAGAACAGACACTACTTTTCTCTGAAAATGGGGCATTTGCAGCAATAACTTAATCAGAGCCCATGCTTAGCCATGCTAAGCAGCACTGGCTTGCAACACATCATCCTCACAATCACAGAAACCCAAGCAGAGCATCTGCACACATTCTGGGCATCACACAGCCTTTTGTAGGGCTTTGCAATTCACGTGGGCTGGCAAAGCAGCTCTCCAGCTGCGAAAGTCTCAGGGCTCCTGCTGACAAAGCTGCCTTGCCATTATCTCCTCTCAGACTGTCAGACAATTTGTTTTTATTGAATGAATAATAACCTTGAGCAAAGGAAGGCCTGCCCAGTAAGAAAGGCAGGCTTGTGAATTTGCAGAATGACAAGCTCCTAGCTGAATCCCTGCATGCACTAATTTACCATATAAAAATAGTTGTTCTCCTGGAGAAAGGATGTCCTAACATTGTCCCTGTAGTAGCAGTCCTTTAGGATCCCTTCCTTGCCATCCTGACCTCTCAGGGACTATTCATCTGCAGCAGGAAGAAATAGACAGATCAACACCCTTTAGTGGCTTTCCACCATGCTTTTCTTAATAACTTAATAATAACGATAACAGACCTTAAGTATATTAATGTCATATTCCAAGAAGAAACCTTTACCTGCTCAGTTACTATTATGGAAGACAATCCCAATAAACTAATTCAAGTTAAGAGACCTCCTTCATACTCCTCTATTTTATTTGTTTGCTTTGTGCAAATAAGTTTATTCAAAATAAATTGTTTGCCAAAGATGCTTGCCATGATATCACACCCTCCTTTAGAAGAAACTGGCTGTTAGAGTTTTACTATCTAAAGCGCCTATAAACACTTTATAATCCGTGGGTGTGAAGGTAAAGAAATTAAATGGCATGAAAACAGAACTGCCACATCAATATATTTTCTAGGTATAGCTATAAATTATGACAGTCTTGCAATATTCTTCTTGTCCAATGCCCACAGGCAAACAACATATTTAATAGGTAAATAAAATATAATGAATCCCCTTTCTACCATTGTTATCATCGCTGCTTCTGGAGTTATACGTGAGCTGGTAACTGTTAATGACATTTCCACATGACACTGTTTATACCCCTGCAGGTTACTGTGCATGAGTTTATCCCCAAGGACCACCATCAACTGGTAAAAGTGGGCAAGATTAACCCCTACCTAGGCTCAGTTAAGGCCATTTTTGTTTATGTGCCATTGTATGCAATTCAGGACTGATGACTGGTGAATCACACCTCAGCCTTCAGGTTGCACATGGAAGATTTTTACTGTTGTGAAGACAAACCTTGAAAATCTTAAATCTCCCCTTCTCTCATAACCATCATGCACATCACTATCATCCCCCTCCCATATATATTTTTGAAATTACAGATTACACTCTCAACTGAACACCATTTGTTTTCCCTTCAAGAAGGGCAGAGGACCAAGAAAAAAGGTGAGCAAACTTTTCCCAAGTTTCACATAGCACAAAAGCCCAGGAGCAGCTTTGTGCAAGTAACTGGCAGAGACAAACATGAAACAAAACTGCAGATCTGACCATGAGCTGTCAATGGTATATATATGCTCCCCCAGTAAGAGAAGAGAAAGCAATTTTACATACTAGCCAATGCATCTTAAAAGACCAGGCGCCTACACCGAAGAGTAAAGTTAGTCTGTGGACATGGGGCTGGCTTTGTGTGCTCAGGGAGGACTGCCACTGCTCTCAGCACTGAACTTGCAACACAGATGCCTTCAAGCTGCTCCAGGTACAAGGTCACAGCAAAGGGTCATGCTGTAGGCCCCGCAGCATTCTTACACCTTCCAGGAGCTTACCAACAGGCATGAGCACAGGTCTACAATGCCAGTACACAGACCAAACACATTTTTGGACACCTAAAAGAAGGAAAGCTGTTTGTGAAACAGCTCGCTTAAGTCTTTCCTCATAAGGCAGACACTCCAGTCCCTTAATCATCTCTCTAGAAGCTCCACCTCCCTCTTGTATTGAGGAGCCCAGAACTGCACACAATACTCCAGGAAATTTCTGCAAACTCCTAAGGACACAACCACAACACTGGAGTTCCTGAAACACCAACTGAATAAGCAAGACCAACAGAATATCAAGACAGATATCATTTACTGAACTACTAAGAAAGGGAAGTCAGCTTCCACTAACTCTCTGGTGAAATTCAGGGGCACCAATTCACATAAGCAATCTGTTTCACATAGTTCATTAAAATAAGGCATCAAAATATACATGTTCTCTTACAGTTCCAGCTCTACTGTAACCACATTTACCTTTTCTCTTTGAATTTCTTTCTTTCTCATGTGTTCAGCTTCTTCAGCTGCCTTTTTTGTTCTTATATATTCTTCTCTCTTGTGCTATATGACATAAACATAAAAAGTTTGCAAATGTATGTATAAAAAACACATAAGATAACTTGACTCCTGTACTGTATCTTTCAAACCTAAGTGTGTTTGATGGAAGTTACTGGAGATTTTTCTTAAACTGAAACATTTCATTTAATAAAGCAGAGTGTGCAACAGCTACTCTGATATTGGCTTTAAGAAGACTGAGAAACCTGGGATTGATATATGTGCATCTATGCAAGGAATCACAAAGCTGATGGATAACTTACAAGCATTTATACCTTTTATAACAAGAACAACATTTCTACATACAGCACTGGATGGCTGGTACATTCATCAATTAGTTGAAGTGTCTGCGGCATGTTGGGAGATACAGTGAAGTGTGTGACTTCCGAGCGCACTGACATGATCTGTGATATGGTTTGCTACATATATATAGCCAGTTTCCTCATTTTCTTTGGTGCAGAACATTTGTTTTCAGTTTTCTGCTGCTGCTTCAGGTTTCATGACTTTCTTCTGTCAAGCAGCTGGGAGTTCATTTTACAGCCATATGAAGCAATGAAACTTACAGAAAAGCCTTTTTAAGCTAGTTATTTTAAAATAAACAAATAAATTTATTCTTCCTGACCTTTTGCTGGTATTTAGATTGCATGAGCACCATCTGTTGTTTTTGCCTTGCTTGATCTTCTGATTCTTTTCCACCTAAACAGATAAAGAAAATATAAATTGCATTGTGCATAAGCACTTATTTTAAGTTCAAATGTCAGTCATTCCAAAACACAGCAATAACAGATCAGATGTATGCATATACAGCAAGTTTTTCATAGTTACAGTAGCTGTCTGACTTCTTTAAAAAAAAAAAAAAAGCATATAGGAGACCTTTTCAATCATTTTGTCCATCCTCCAGAAGCACTGAGTTGTTATTTACAGAATATACATTCTGTCATCCATTCTGCCAGTAAATATATCCTATTGTGGATGATCAGTTTACAGCAACAGAAAAACTATTCAATTTTCAGAAGATCAGTCATGCTTTACAGATAATTCTTCCTTTCCAGGCCCAGATTCCTTTCCACTTTTGCTCAGTTCATCCATCCCTCTGTCTGTCACACAAACACACACACTTTGAAAACTTCATTCCCAATATTTTCTGTTCTATCAATTACAAGAAATCAGAGTTCCTGCCAGCTCTGATTGGATATTGCCACTACAATTTCTTCCTTGAGGAAGAATCCCCTAGAGGAAGGATCTCCTTTCTAAAATGAAATCAAAGGCTTTTTGAAGAGACCTCGCAGTCATATCCAGGTAGGAGAGAAGATGCCCTTTCTGAGGGCATCTTCTCCAATAACAGCATCTAAGCCTCTGCCCACACAGCTTCAGTCTTCAGCTAAAAATAAAATAAAAATAAAAAACCAACAACCACACACACTCCTCACCTGCTCACACACACATACTGGAAGTGATAGGTGTTCGTAGGGATGGACAGTGGTGGTAGTAGTAGGGAAACTAGTAAATTATTCCCTCAGTTTAGGGGATCTGGGAAGCAGAAAATGACTACAAGCCCTATTCTGTAGGCAAAGGCTGTGTATTTGCTTGATGATTCTGAGAGGTTCCTCACTGCAGGGAGGAACTAACTCTGCAATGCCTAACTCTGCAATTGCAGCTTGATCCTGCATAGAGTAATCGAGGAGCTAACTCACCTCTGGTAGTGCAGGTCCTTAAAACTGGAAACATCTACTCCATGGTTGTCCATCCTGCTTGCAGGAAAGGGCATGAATCACCCTTTAGTAATAATCTTCCCTTTACTAATGGTAGCCAACTAATCTTTAAGGTGCCTTTCTGAGGTTCAGGGAATGGGAGATCAATTCCTTAAGCATCGAAACATCCCTATGCACACAATTAACTCCATAAGAATGAGGCTATACAGGATACAAGCAACAAGCTTACATCAGCAATAAGCATACAGCTCGTTTAGCAGCTCATCCCCATGTCTACGAAATGAAAATATTACTAACCGCTTTAGAAGCTTGATATTTCTTTTCTTCTGCCCTGCTATCAGCAACATTTATCACTCTTATGTTCACTGCAAGCTTCTGCAGGTGCTGCTGGACATTAGCTCATAACAAGTAATCAGTCATTACCCACAGCCTTACAGTCAGGTTTAATTCATTCAAGTTGGCTTGGCTGTAACATATCTAATATTTCACAAAGTCAGACTGGTGTGTTATGACTGGCATCACTTTATATCATATAATCAAAGCAGCAGCCATTTCATTTTTTTCAGGCATGATTTGTTCTTTACAATCCTGCTCCATTCATGCTTTGAGAAAAGGATGAAACTTAAATGATTCATCACTCTCATCCTCCATGGTGCCCTTAAAGCTTGCCAGTCACATAAGCATTCCAGATTTCAACTCCACAGTATTCCCCTAAGAAAAGCACAAGTATTAAAAAACTTCAAGAATTCTCTGATTTGGACTAGATGAGCAGTCTCCTAAAAAAATACACTCTGAGAAAATAACATAGGATACTTGTTCCTTGATGAGCACCTAAGGTTGTGAAATTAGGGATGACACTTTTTCTTCCTCCCTCTTGAACTCTCTTCTGTTCTGAATTTACTCCTGTGGAAATGGTAAGATCTAATAATCCTTGCACTTTACCACTTCTCAGAGGCACTTAAGATAGTTCATGTGCCTCAGTCTCCAGGAGTCTAAGTAGTAGCTAGGCAGTGACGGAAGAGCTCATATAACTCCCACTCTTTCAGAAGCTTTTTGATTTTTTAAATGCTTCTTTCTCAAGAAAGTTTTTAAGCGCAGTGGAATCAGAGACGACAGACTTCCCACATTCTTACTTACTATAGGTTTCTCCCTATATTTCCAGTTATGCAGTCAGCTTGCTGGCATGCTTAATAGGCACCACAGACCAACTTTTTCTTATTTCACTTTCTTCAGCAATAGGTGTTTTAGTTCTATTGGGATAGAAGCATATTTTCTAGGAATTGCTCACAGGGAGGAAGCAGCTGGTATGTAAAACAGATGAAGAACATGCCTATCCCCATACCTGCAATGGAAAGGGTAGTGCACTCAATTGCAGAAGGAGATTCACCACTTCAAGCACCTGGGACTCAGGCAGAAGGGCAAAACTGCATGTGGGATCAGTACCACCTTGACCCAATAAACAAATCTGGCTTGGAGTCAGGTCAAAATGCTTCACATTAGGAAGAATTCTGATCCTCTTGCCATCTCCCACATGAAGACAATTTTTAAACACATGCTACTGCCCCAATAAACTTGGGTAGCACGGTAAAGAATTTCAAGAGGTCAAGATAGACAATAATCTGCATAGCACACCCCAAATTATCCCATGACAGCAAAAAGAAGGAAGAGAAGTTATAGATTTACAAACCAATAAAGGTACTATTATAATCCTTCACTTCATCATAATGAGTTTTGTTCCATTTCTATTAATGCAGTCCCTCAAGGTCATCCCATTCTTTCCATGCAATAGCCTCATCATATTCTGTACAGATGATGCCTTCAAGTTTTGTCTTGCCAGCAAGTTTCATCAGCCCACTCCTACTTTTTGTGCCAAAGACATTAGTGAAAGATATTAAAACAAGATAAGTTTGAAGGCTAATAGTTGAAAACACTTCTAATAACCTCCCTCTTGTTTCATACTTCTTTGCAGCACAATCTGCTGTCCCATTTTCCTTGCAGTTCTTTCTGTCACCCTTCCTTAAAGCTAAATTTCAAGTAGCGCCACATTAATTGCCTTATGTGTTCCATCTGAAGAGATATACTATGTTTCCTCTCTTTTGTCTATAAAAGATAAAGCTATCAATCACTTACCAAACACACAGTTCAACCCAGTGTGACTTGTATCTGTGTTGCTTTTTATCCTGTTTTGTTTTTTTCCACTCATCTCCAGAGTTGTTTTTGTTAAGATTGGTTATACAGAACCTCATGCACATTAGCCTGAGGCTGAAGGGATCAGCTTTACCTCTTCAAAAGCCAGCAGTCAGGCTCCCTATACAATAGTATAACAGTGGCCCCTAACCTGGAGGAATTTACTCATAAGTAAGTGATAAGGATCTGACACAGGCTGTTCATCCGCACACTAATGCCAGGTGCACGTTTATTCAGAGACATTAACTATAGACAGCGCTCTCAGCAGGTGGGCTTGTCAACCTCTCGCTCCTGTTAATACAGATTTTCTACACTGATCTTGACAGATTGCTTGAATGATAATCTATGCCACTGTTTCAAGAATAATCTTCATTGTCAGGACCATCAAAATCCACAAAGCATTTAAAGCAAACTCCTGTTAGCACAACTGACAGTAAATAACAAGCTTATAAATAACAAGCTTATAAAAAGGAGTGAAAACACTCATGTAGCGAGGGGTCAATATATTTACATGTATTTTGCAATTTGTAACAACTCTTACGTTTCTTACCCAGTCTCTGTGGAGTGAACTTAATTGGCCCTGGCCTGTGGTCTTCCTTCCACCTCTTCAGGTCATCTAGCTCTTTCTTAGCAACTGAGGAGATGCAGAAATAAGCAGATATGCAGTGGTGAGAGGTAGCACTAAGCAGCAGGCAGTATCATTAATTGCATGCAACACTGAAGACCCACCCAAGAACAGGTAGATTCTTGTTTTTCATGGATGCAGAGATCCCCCCTAAGACACTGACTGTTCCGGTGGAGCCATCAGCATGTGGGGCAAACACCATCTCATCCAAGACTGTATGAGTGAGTAAACCCAAGGACTTTCCAGGGTCTAGCACCAACCCCAAGAGGAAAACTAAAATAAATAAATAAAAATGATGGCAGGTTGCTTTTGAACTCCTGGAAATCAGTAGATAAACACTACACTCTTCGTGGTTAATTCAGGAGTTTTGCAGGCTAATGCAGTGTTCATGTACCCTGCTTTGGCAGTATGTACTTATGCACTCCCCAGCAGAAGAGTGAATAATAAGCAACCTTCCCTCTCAAAGACATGTTCCCCTAATAAAAGCTGGAGTTATACACAATTCAGCTTCAAATCAAGACCTTTCAACGGGTGTCCGTACGTGAGCTGGGTGCCAAGCTCACACTGTAGTCAGTGGCGATCTAGGCACTACAGTCAGTGGCACTGGGAGTCCTATAAAGCCAAGCTACAGGCTCTAGGATGACCTGGTTGATTGTATCGCTCTCCAGGATCAAGTGACAGGAATAAGACAGTGTCCTTCAATAAGATGGCCCACAAAGAGCATGGAAAGAAAAGTTGTGTCTCGGGGTAGTACCTAAGTGGCTTCAAGAGCTCAATTCACTCTTACAAATACCAGTAAAAACAACAGAAACCACAGTTTCTAATGGCAGGTTATAGCTAAGAGATGCTCATACCAATTCTCCTTTAATAAGAAAAAGCCACTCTCTGGACAGGTCCCCAGAGAGGCTGAAGAGTCACTTGTGATTTCACCTTTAGAACAACAAAGGTTTAGACAGAATCCAGATTCAATGTGTTAGGCTGTGCTTCTGCCAGCACCCAAGGCAAAAGTACTTTGCTTGCTTGATACCTTATATGCTGGTGGCAACAGCATCTGCATTAAGGTCAGAGTCTACTCTCAGCTCATCTGCTTTTCTTCCTTCCAAATGATTAAGGTTTGGTTCAGAGGAAGCCCATTTTATTTCTAAAACTTCAACATAAGCTCATGATGTTTGAGAATAAACATTTTAACTGCCCAATTTCTCAGGGGGCTCTAAGCGTGAGGGCTCACTGGCTCATTATGATTCTGTGCAAACAAAGAATGAGAAGTGCAGCACTGCAGCACTCGGTCACTCACACATACAAGATTTCTGTCATGACAGGATCTTTTGTCATAAGTTTTGCCAAAGAAAGCTTTTTAAACACATCTAATCTCTCTGGTACAGGTTCAGGGTGTTTTCTGCTTAGCTACCTCTACCAGCAAGACTACACTATCTAGATTGGTCTTTCTCTGTTTCATTAGAAGATCCATCTACATTCTTTAAATGGATATTCAGGAATAAATATACAGTGTGGTTCTAGTTATTCTGGTTTCCACAAGAAAGGACTGTCAAAACATTTCTTACTGATATTCTCTTCTTCCTTCCTCCCCCTCCACCTAAAATATGCTCAAAGTTGAATCCTCCAATCTAAACTCAAGGCATGAAAACCATGAGCTGTAGGAGCAAGGAATGGATAATGGAATAATTTTACTGTGAAAGCTGCGCACATAAATGCATTGTAAAAATAAGAACAACAACTCCAAGGGTGATAAAGCATACAAAAATTTTTTTCTTTAATTGAAATAATATATTATAGTACTAGATAACAACTTACTTTGCTGCAACCGTTTTCTTCTTGTCGCATTTGGAGTTATCAAGACATATGGGCTGACACTGAAATGAAAGACAAGACTGTTATTTTGTCCTGTCTATTGGAAAATGGAACTGGAAGGGATTTCCTTTGACATAAACGCCAATTTTCTCCTGTTGCAGCCAAGAAAAAAAACAGAAAACAAAACTACCTTTATTTTGAATCAATTGTTTAGATTTTTCAGTAAATATTTTTGAAAGAACTCTTAGAATTAAGATGTTAATATTAAGAGTTTCTGAAAAAATTACACTTAGCACTGTCTTTACTTTTCTTATTTAAGTCTCACTTTTGACTGCCAACCTCAAATTCAGCAGTTTCAAATCCAATACCTTCTCGAGAACTCCATGTAGCAGACAACTATTCCCACAAACTGGCTGGAGGTGATTTATAGTTCAGCTTGCTCAAGCACAGAGGAAGAACAGTCTTTTTGGAAGAGCATCAGTGCTGCCAATCCCACCCCAGGCTTCAGGGGCACCTCAGAAGATTTAAGCAGCCTGTCCAAGAGTTGTCAAAGGACTACACAAAAATCATACTCTCTATCTTGGATTCATGTGACCTGCTCTCAGCTTAAGCCTCAGTTTCCTTGTTAGCCTCGTGTTTGCCAGGCACTTGCAATGCATTGGGCATATTTATTTTGCTGTCATGCCTACAGTGCAAGGCACTAAATCAGGGCAGCGGCCCCTGTTTTGCTAGGCTTAATTCAAAACACAGTTGCTGGCTCAAAGAGCTATCAATCTAATGCGCCAGCAAAGAAACAGGACAGAGTTCAGAGTGTTTTAGAGACTTGGGGTGATCAAAAGAGTGATGAAAACGCATCAGTTCCACTTGGAGAAAACAAAGGTTTTTATCTAGCCAGTATATTGTGCGGGTATGAGCTTACACTGCCTGCTCCACAGCTGTGGAAGCTAAGCCACAGGGATGCAGGATTACTAGAAAGGCACTTAGTGGTTGGCTCCGAGCATCAGAGTAAACCCTCATCTCTGCAGTATTCAGCACGGCTTTACCCGCACATATGAGAACAGATATTTTATCCCTCTTCCTCAGGAGGGAGGCTGAAGGAGCAGAACAGAAAACAAGGAATAATGAGGGATGAAGACCAAGCCTTTTAGAGGAAGAAAGGGCCACAGGAGGTGGCTAGAGGACAAGCCAGCAAGCAGAAAAAAAACACAGTTGGCGGTGGAAAAGTAATGAGGGAACGAGGGCTGAGACTGTGGCTAAAAAAGGAGAGAGAAAGCCATGCTCACAGATCAAAGTGCACAAAGCTGCCTGCTGCTGTATCGCTCTAATTCACAAGTTGGAAAAGAAAGTATTTATATCCAATTACCTCCTTCTCTTTGAAGACTCACTCTAGGAGGATGTGGATTAATTTATAAGATTAAGTTAGGAAAGACAGAGCTGCTAGCTTTAATGGTGCCAATTAATACAACCCTTTCCCTTCCCACCAGCAAGACGAGGCAACGCTCCTCTGGCATTTGCCACACAACAAGACGCGGGTTTGACAATTTATGTTACTTTTATGGTATAAGCTTCTTCATCACCTTCCAGATTTTCCTTCATTTGATTGAGTAGTATCATTTAAAATGTACCCAAGACTGCCCTTGACTGAGCTGCTCTAGAGTTATATTGTTTAGTCAGTGTTAGGACGTTTTGGTTTTGTCAGCCACTTCAGATACTAGTGCTTATTTTCTCTCAAGTTCATATACACAAATTGTTACTTCGTATCTACTCCTTTTTCGGTGTATTAAAAGGAGAGAATCTTTGATTTTAAGTTGCATAACTATGTATTTTTACTATAACAAACATGAGTGCATCTTCAAGACCCTACCGATTCATAGCATAAGAGAACAGGAGACTTCTGCTATCCTCCGTGTACTTAACTAGTTAACATCAAATATTCAAGCTTTTTGATCAGGATTCCAATTAAAGAGGAAGCAAGGACCCCTGCGTGTGTGTGTGTATATGTATGAGGCATCACATCAAACCTAGTCCTTATGCCACAAATCATTTTCTTCACCCGCTTTTCCTTTTTGGCTGGAAGGCTCTGAGCCTACGAGGACAGATGGGCCACTCTTCTGACATCTGACCACGGCCATTACCCAGTAGCTTAGAAAGGCAGCACATGAAATACAGCAAAGATCAATCAGTTTGTGAAAGGGATGGAAGTGTGACCAGCAGCGACAGGGAATTGTTCTCAGTTCTCGGGAGAGCTCAGCCCTCTTGTCTAATCAGCGGCTTTGGAGCCACCAGGGTTAAAAAAAGTGCTGTTGACAAGCCAGTTTGGCTTCCATGTTACCGAAGTAAGGGGGAAGAGGGGATTTGAAATCCTTATTTAAGGAAAGAGAAAACAGGACTGCAACTTTGGATTCTCTTCTACTTGGTGCTTATGCTACAAGAGTTTTTTTAGTCCAAGTTCACAAAGAGAAAAGAGCATCATCATCTGGTTTCGCAAGCGCATTCATAGCATACGCATGTAAAACTGAGGAATACTCTACTTATCCCAGAAAAGGAGTCATGCAGACTTGACACCGTTAGCCTTGGTTTCCCTGAAATAATGAAATATGAGAACACAACTTTGGATACTGAAATCAGGGAAAAGAAGAGCAAAAACAAAAGTGTACCAAAAAGCTCATCTGAGTTTTCAAGCAGACAGACATCAAACATTACAGAAGTATAGTGAGACGACAAATAACTATGTAGTTACATGCATACACACATAAATATTTCAATCCCCCCCAAAAATATTATGCCCTCAAAATATATGCAAGGATAGTTTATCATTTGAATTATCAGTTACACAAAGAAGGTCATGGCTGCATTTTCCAACTCTGTGCCTTTCCATCTCTGCCTTTGTGCAGCTCTACTCTTTTACCCAGCGCTACTAGTTTTCAAAGCTTTCAAGGTAGAAACCACAGAAACCCTTGTTCTCTTCTCTTATAGCTATGTATAAAATAGATGATCTGTAAAACACCAGAACTACACTTCACAACTAATGCTTTTTGCAGAGTTGTGCCCTTCAGTTTTTCCTCAAGCCCACTCCAGCCAGTTACCACTGGGAGGCCTTCCAAATGAAGTGTGAAATAGTTTAAAGAGTTACAAAAGTAATAGTGGTTATAAACTATTTCCAGTTCCACTGTGCTTTATGCTGCCTTTCCCTCCCCCTCTCCCATCAGCACAGGAATACCACATAAAGCAGAAAGTTAAATAGTTTGCTCTCTAGGGCAATGGAATTTCTGTGCTCAGTCAGAAACAGAAATTGAGGAGAGCTCAGTGCAGGGTAACACAAATTAAAGCAGCTTTGGAAAGAGACCTGGGCAGGTCCAGTTGAATCCAGACAGGACTCAGGGGAGACAGACTACCTATCTGTATGTGTACCATTTCTTTCTATAAGAAAAGAAGTGGTTCATTGCTATTCAGAAATCAATGAAGAAAAAGGCTCAGGGAAAAAAGCACATGCACATGCCTGAGTATTTGCAAGCCTATTTATTTTTTTGTACCCGTGGGTATGTGTGTGTGTGTGTATATGTATTATTTCCTTTTGCTTTATATATATGTATAAATATATATATACACTTGATATATGGCCTTAACTTTCAAGGGGGAACACTTTGGTGAAATGCTGTATTAATACACATCTTAACATATTATTTAAGTGATATGTTAAGACTGATAAACTTCAAAAAAAAAAAAAAAAGAAAAAGAAGAAGAAATTGTCAAGGACATTTGCAGTATCACCTTCAAAGATACCTCAAGCTGAACTTTGCATCCAATTATCAGAACTATTGGAGGCCAATCAAGTCCATCTCACCACAAGCTCTTGTTTTCACCAAGGCTCTTAGGCCTGATGGAGCAGCTGCATGCTTAACAGCATGGTGCTTAACAGCACCATGGAAGCTGCCAGATCAGAGACCTACAACATGCCAAATCCCAGACAGCAGAAAGGAACTGTTCTGTAGGTATCTATATCTCAGTGTGCTACAGCCAGATGCTAACGATAACTGACAGCCACAGCTCCAGAGCTTGGTCTTGCAACATGATCCATGCCCGGGCAGTGCCATAAACAGAGCTCTGGGAGGATGAGAAAAATACCATATACAGGTTGGGGCTCTCACTTTCCATCTCTGTCAGCAGCAGCATCTTACTGCTTTACAGCTCAGACACAAAAGTAAATTACAGGGGCTTAACATTACACACTGCCTGAGCCATCCTAGCTGCGTTTGTGCTCTTAATATGAGAGGCAGAAAATAAACTGTGCCAGCTGAAAATGCCTATCTCTGAAATCCTTCCCTTATGGATTTTGTCCTGTGTTTGCCACAGGCTAAGCGTGTACTTAATGACTGCAGCTCAAGTGATATCTGGAAGCTTATTAAGCCAGGGTAACTCACTTGTATATCTGGGCTCTCTTTTGGGTGGAAACGTCTATTTAAGTGACCAGCATTTTTGCCAGCATGCAGCCTGAAGGCAAAACAGAGAGTTAAATCCCAAAGTGAACTTGAACATGGAAGGAAGGTTTTCTGGAAAAAGGCAGCAGCAACAGAGAAAGGCCCAAGAAAAGGACAGGAGGCAGAAGGAAACCTGTTGTTCTGCTACTGGCACCCACATCTCAAAGCTCTCACACCCCCAAGCTTACAGAGAATCTCCTGAACTTACAATAAGATGTAAGGAATAAAACTGAAATTAAGAAGTGAATTTCCAAGAGGAAAAAGGATATCAATTTGCTTCAGCTCAGCATGTGGCAACAGAGCAGAATAACAGGCTTGGCAAAACATGCGCCAAGCCAGGCTGTCTCTTGCCTACCATCCACACACTACAAATCACATTTGTCACTATTCCTGGAAAATTAGCCAAGCCAAACTACACAAAAATTAAGATTTAAACTGGTCGTAGGTTCATCTGTGCCTCCCTCAATTTCCCTACAACCTATCTTCTCCTCCCCTTCAGCTATTCACTGTCCTTTTATTGTTCCTGCCCAAGCACAGTACCCTCCCATATGTGACTTTTTGATTTTATGGCCACAGCTCCTCATCAAAGCAGGAGCAGAGGGAACATCTCTCGTGTAACCCAAGTTCTTCTGAGAAAATCTTCTAATATAGGAATTAGAAGCACTTTCTTTCCCCTCCTACGCAACATTATCACAGAATGGTTGAGGTTGGAAGAGACCTCTAGAGATTCCCTAGTCCAATCCCCTGCTCCAGCAGGGACACCCAGAGCACGGGGCGGCATCCAGGTGGGTTTGGGAGATCTCCAGAGAAGGAGACTCCACAGCCTTCCTGGGCAGCCTGTTCCAGGGCTCTGGCACCCTCACAGGGAAGAAGTTCTTAAACTAAACTAAAGAAGTTCTTAAATTATGGGGAACACAGGACCCCCATAACTCAAACTAATGGAAATCTTACTGTATAAGACATATATAACTGTATAAACTGCGTAGTTATCTTCTTACATTGATGCAGCCACTGAACACCTGGCTAGAGATAAGGGTGCCTGCTGATCACACAGGACCTGGACATCTTTGAATTGCCTCCCTGGGCTGTAAAGGTTAGCACATCCTCCTCAAAGGGATAGAGATGGGAGGTTTCCTGTGTAGCAAGCACAGATTTCAACTCTAACCAAACTGTCCATAATCCAAATTGCACTTCTGCAGCTCCTATCAGTCACAGAGCAGTAGTCAAAAACTGTTCATTTTTACTAACATGCTCCTCCACTTTAATAGCCTGATTTGGTGTATAACAACAAACAAACATTCACCTCTATATCAGCACAAGACAGAGAGGGGAAACACTACTATAGTTTTAATTCAGGATGACGACTGGAAAAGGAAGGGAAGAAGATAGAATATATTTGCCTCTTGCAGATAAAGGATACGATTTCTGAAGTCAAACGTTCAAACAACCTCAGTCTCGTTTCACACTATGAGAGACTGTTACCAGTTGTAGGACACTCTTTCTTCCGTTTAAAAAAACAGCCCCCCCCCCTCGCCAAAACATCCTTTCATTTTACCAGAAATGGTATTACTTTCCACCAGGCTCAGAAATGCCAATGCCAGGCTGTTTAATGGGGGTAGGGACTATCACAACCTTTTTGAGGCTTGTAGTTCATCACCTTCTTTTTCCCCCGAGGCCTGTTACTCCACCTTTCATTTTCCCACTTCACACCACCTTTCTTCTGCAGAGACTCTTGTTTCTACACAGTTATGAAGAGGTGCAATTTGGGAATTTCCTTTCTACAAGTTAATTTCATGGCACTTAACAGACTTGATGAGAAGTAACTTAAACACACACTCATAATAAATAGTCTCAAGCACTTGTCACCCTAGTGATTTTCTCTCCATGGCCTGAAACAGCATCCAAAATAGAACTAGGGCTGCCATGTGTAAACTTTTATGTCAGTTTTCGATTTGAACAAGTGTTTTTCTGACTTAATAAAACCAGTTTTAATATCTCTTTTCTGCCTCAACATAAAAAAATCTTCTCCAAGAATTATTACCTAGTAAAAAATCTTCTAGCTTGGACTATACTCTCCAGAAGCACAAAGAGCCCAACAGGAACATCTAGGCCAGAAACAGCTTCCTCAATTTATCTCATTTAAGTGAGGACCTAAAAATGGGTCAACATGATTGAGCACCACAACCCATGCATTTTTTCATTCACATTGCTAACGTTAGCAAGATTTTAAGTTGCCCATGCCGTACTTGAAAAGAGTCATGTTTGAATAAGGCCAGAATGTTCCTGGTCCCACAAATATCTGGTATCACAGAATCACAGACTGGTTGAGGTTGGAAGGGACCTCTAGAGATCATCTCTAGCAGGGACACCCAGCGCACGGGGCGGCATCCAGGCGGGTTTGGGAGATCTCCAGAGAAGGAGACTCCACAACCTCCCTGGGTAGCCTGCTCCAGGGCTCTGTCACCTTCACTATCAAAAAGTTCTTCTTATATAACAAATCCTCTCTAACTTACAAAGTGACAAATCCCTCGACATGAAAGGACACTTGATCCCATGATAAGATGTGGCGAAGGCCAGGGATTTCCCCCTTTCTGGTGCTCTGAAGACTCAGCCTGAGACCCAGCACGCATGGCAAAAAAACTTGTGCACATATCTGTACATGTGCACATGCACACACAAGTCATTCACATGTAGGCTTAAATTGAGAGTGACTCCTTGGGTGACAGCAAAAGCATATCCTGTTTCTAGAAAGTCGGAACAGTGTAGAAATTGGAACAGAGCCATTTTATGGCAGCCTACATGAGGCCCTCATACTGCAGCAGTGCTCTCCTCTGCTGCTCATTTTGCAAAGTTTTTTTTAGTCAATGCTAGTCTGAAGAATTTTTCTCCTACTGACACTCAGTGACATTAGCTCTCAAACTGTCACATACAAGAGTTGGATACCCCCACAGCCTGAAAAAACGGGCTATTCTGAGACTGTCCTACTATACTGGATTTAATGATCATCTCAAAAGGCACTCAGTGCTGAAAGACTAGGATTTGTCATTACCAAAAGGGTATTTTAATTTGTGGCCCTACTTGAAAGACAACTTGCAATAACATAGAGATGAGAACCTCTGTCAACCACGTACTGCCGTAACTTGTAACACTGCTGGTTTAAGAATGGATTGTCACAATTTTCTCCACACCCACAGGTTAGATCCTTTGTTTTGCATAGGGAAAATTTAAGTGTACACTCCTTGTACTAGATTCATAGCAATTTTGTTCACTTCAAGCATCAAATCAAGATGAAATGTGGAAACAAGGTTTTAAGTTGTTCTTGCCCCAAAGCATATCTAGTTTTACAGGGATTTCTATTGCCTGATGAGAATCTGTGAAGAACTTTTCAATCTCAATTAAACCTTAATTGGGAAATTCAGGCCAACTAACTAATCAAGTATTTACATAAGCTTTACTAGAGATTCTGTAACTAATACAAACTGTAAGTCAGGAATGGCTCTTTGCTCTCCTAAAAGTGCCTCACTGAAGAGCTCACTGATTTGCAGGCTACTCATCTCTAAATAATCCATGTAAAATTATTACCTCATGGTAATAATGTTGACCTCATGCCTTTTAAGGGTTAAGGCAAAGCTTCTGGCTGAGGTTTATGACCAGCGGCCTGCCACAGCTTTCCTAACACGTGGCTCCACCTTCTTCCAGAAACATGGAAAGGAAACTGAAACGGCTCTTAGAAAGCGGAACTAAGCAAACTCAGCACATATTACTAGTATTACATGCACTGCTACTACCGACACTTCATGGAAAGTGTATTTAGAAGAAAAAATTATGAGCCTGCATCAGCTAAATGTGTATACATTAAGCCCATGCAAAAACACACTGTGAGCTTCTACGTTGTATTGCATCTGCATGTTAGAGCTTATATGATCTAAAAATAGGCATTTAGAAAGAGAAAGGGGCAGAGCGTAGATTTAAGTATAAAGCTTAAAATGAAATGTAGGGTGTATTTGACTTTAGTTCTGCTAGTATCAAGTCATTTGAGGTGCTGCTGTATCCTGGATTGCATTCAGATCACATTTGGAATGGAGCCTATATCCATTTCTTAAGCCAGAAAAAGTATTTTTAGACTCAGAATGAATTATTAGGTGAGGAGACAAAAAAAAAAAAAAAGGGCAGAAAAGCAGAGAGGTAGAATTGTATTTGAAACTCCAGTTAGAAAGGAATTCCAGGAAACTGGCACCATGTAGAGAAAAATCAAATGAACAGAACCTGCTGCTGTGATTGCACATAGCACTGATACTGTCTGCATACACATACAGCACATCAGAGCAGCCCCACCTGTAAGTCACCGTATCACAAAATCGCCAGGGAAAAATAAAAAAAGAAGGACATGCTGCTTTTAGGTCCTGTCCCATTCACAGACTGGCTATAAAAGTATTCCCACCTGCAGAAATAACATCACGTTAGGTCAAGAACAGACACTTAATACAAGCATCACCACTAATTTGGCCAGGCTCCTTGCTACTCACTGCTGCTCTTGCTGTTGGTGATGGTGGGCTCCTGCTTGGCCTCCTCGCTCCACTTCGGGCATCACCAGCCTCTGCGTTGCTTGAGCCCCTTCTGTTTTTTTCCAGGTTTCCCCAGGGTGACCCTGAGAGGAAAAGGGAGTACTGGAGGCAGCAGCCATCCTATTCCTGCTTGTTTGTGTGCTTCCTCCTGCCCTATACATGGCTACAGGAGAGCCAAAAAAAGTAGTGCTGCAGCTAAGGCAAAGAAAAAACTCCAACTTCAGTTTGAGCAAGCTAGTTTCAATTCCTTGTTAGTCACGCCCCTAAGGAGATTCTCCCAGCTGTAAAACTGTAAATCCACTTATTGGTTTCTGGGTCATCCTCCAGCTGCAGCTCAGGCTGATCACCTGAATCAGAGCACCCAGTAAGATTACCACCATGGGCCCATAGTAAAACTCATTTGTTGCTCTTATGAATAAAACAGACAAGTAATAGTTTGTGCAATCTTGCAATACCCTGCCCTGGAACAAGTGAAGTGAGGTCCAAGCAAAGTGAGGTCTGGAGAAATGCTAAATCTCTGATAACATGACTACAGCACTGAAAAAAAAAAAAAAAAAAAAAAAAAGAAAAAAAAAAGTAGAAAAAGTCAAGGTTTTTTGTTAGTTGCTTATCTGTTGGACTATAACCAATCAATAAACCCTGGCAGTGGAAGAATAGTTCAGAGGAGAAGGGTAAGGTGCCCATGAAGCTCAGGAATCGTGTAGTGTGTAAGTCATTAACCACAGCTGCAGCACACAGAGTGATTTTACCTCAGCACACAGGCGACTACAGCGTGGTCCTTGTTTTAAATAAACATGTCTGTTGGGTAAATATGTCTCAGACCACATCCCATCTGAGTGGATTCCTCCCTGTGCAAATGGTTCTTCCTGAGTTTATCAGGAGTCTCCCTGAGTTTATCAGACCGGCATGGAGGGAGTATGTATATGTATGTGTGTGTGTGTATATACATATACATGTATATATATACACACACACATATGTGACTCAACCCACCATAGAGCATAAAACCCAAACAACTAACAAAACAATTTCAAAGACAGCAATGGGCTTAAGCTGGCTTCAGTCCACATATTCCTTCCCAGCACCTGTGTATGCCCAGTGTCTGGATGGTGAACATGTTACAGAGACAAGTAAGTGCAATCACATTGATACTGTGATTGAGGCCTGCAGTTTGCTAAGTGTTTCCACCTGAACTGTGATGTCAGTTAATTGCTGTATCACTCTGCTAAATCAAAAATCCTGTGTACTACTAAGTACTGCAAAGTACACTTTTACTTTAAACATTGCACTTTCTGTGCGTGGAATATTTAAAGGAAGCTGGTCAGAAAGTCCCGGACTCTTGACGTGCATGTTATGTCTGAATGGTGTGCATGCAGACAGAAGGAAGTCAAGTCAGAAAATAACCCTCTGACAAATAACCCTGTGATGCAATGTTCCTGTAAAACTCATCTGAATTCTACTCTGGTCAAGATTTCTCTTTATTTCCTACTTCTGTGCTATAAATAGTGAACAAATGCATGATCCTTTGAAATAAACCCCACCTGTTTCACTGAGCACAGCTGTGTGGTGGTGCTGTACCTGGCTGATCAGATACTGTGGGACCTGCAGGGCTAGGGAAAAGCTGGAACTTTCTTAATATCACTAACTAAATAAAGATACTTGGTAGATCTTAATGTGACAAAAAAATACTAATAATACAACTCAGCATTACACAGAAGAGCTGGGGAAATCTAGCTCCACAGAGGCAAATCTTGTCACTTTCTGACCTCAGCTGCTAAAGTCACACTTAAACCATCTTTTTTAAGGAATGACTTGTCGACAGATTTTCGGCTAGCCAGGCTGTCTAGGTCTTACAGCACATGCAACATCCTCTGGGAAAATAGCAAGATAAAATGCCACATGGAGAGCCTGAGACTACCTGGTGCTCGTGGTGCTCCACAGGACCCTGCCACCAGAATCCCACCTCTTAGAGACAACAGCAGAAGACACCATAGAGACTCTCTCAACCTTCAGCCAAGCTCTGACTTTTCTGCTCTCTGATCTCCACCACAGGCCAATCCCATCCTTCAAGAAACAAGGAGATGTTGAGCCATATGCAAACATCAGCCCTGATGGGGAATAAAGCATCTCCTTGTTTTATTTCTTAGGGGAAGATTTGGCTTCTGGAACATCTTCCAGGGGGCTGGATGAGCTGAGGGAGGGATCCTGCTGCCTTTTAGCTGTCTGGGTCAATGTGAGTTTGAGACCTGCCCCGGTGCAGGGCAGGGTCCTCCTTGCCCTGTGCCATTTATAGCCATGTGCTGTGAGCAGAGAAATGCTTCTAATCTGTACCAACACTGCCAGTTTTCTCATTTGAAGGTACAGTCTCTGTCTCTCACAGGTGTTTTACCCTAGATTAGGCTTATATCAGAAATCACATATATGTCACAGGGCAATATGAATCATCCCCTAAGCTGCCCATGCAGGGGTTTAGGTAGGCCATGAGGCCTGCCAACCTGCTTCATGTGTGCTGCCAAGTATAGCTGTAGAAAGCAGGCCCTTGGGTAGATACCTTAACTCAGATTTCCTCTCATCTTCACATAGATTTTTTTTTTTCAGACAAGCCACAGGCAAATGAAAGCAACCAACAAGTTTAATCCTTTCTGCAGGACTGTGGAGTGAACACATGAGTTGCCAGAACAAGAGCAAAGAGACGAGGCAAATGCTAGGAAATGATCAGAAAGTCATGTCTGAAGACTGCAAAGATTTGTGAGGTAACAGCTGTGCCTACAGGCACCCTATTTGGTAAAAATCCAATTTCGACATCTGGATTCCTCTTAAACCATACAGATTTATGTCTTAACGACACAAATTTAATTACTAAAACTGATTGTAATTGATGTGCCCATGGCTGCTGTATCTTCAAACCCACATTATTATGTAAAAGCTGATTTAGTATCAATTTCCTGTTGAACTTTGTTTTGGTGGCAAACAGTAACTGCATAATCTAAACAGCTTAAAAAAAGTATTGTTAAAAAAAAGAGAGACATAAAATGAACTCGAGCACAAGACAGTGGATTGCTTACATTGCTTCTCTGGTAGTTCATTTCCTAGCTCTTTTTTTGCATGACTTTAAGTCATCCAGGACAAAACCCAAGCCTGTCATGTCAGGCATGACTCCCAAAAGATAACTCTACTTTCTTCTACCCTAATCAGCTGTCCAACACTGTCAGCTGTCTTTGCATCTCGCATACATCCAACCTACCTTGGTGTCAGACTCTCCAGCATGCCCCACGTCCCCTCAGTTTTATGTCACTGAAACACAACTTGTGATGGGCACGTACGTCCTGTTATTTCAGACACAGTGAACTGAAAGATGGCCCAAAATAGTAAAAACTATCTAGGTTCACAATGGCACCATAACTTTACCTCCAAAATTGTATTTTTATAGACACAACAAACATTGGATGCATATTCTACTCTATTGCTTATGTGTATAGCTGTCTTACATCCTGAACTGGGTCACATTCTCTAGGAAGTTTCCTTGCCTTTGTTTTGGCAAAGAATCTGACTACTAGGCTTGTTTGATTAGCTTCCTTTTGCTGTCCTGTTTCTTCTGCTTCCTGGGTCCTTCTGACTCTCATCCTGTCTGACAGAGATACGTGAAGACCAAACAGGTCTGCCTAACAGAAGTCTGCTGGCCACACAGGCAGTTATAGATAAACACCCAGGCACCACTTTCTGAACTTTCTGGAGTCCAAAGAAACAGGATATTTTGATCCTCTCCTCACAGTAGCACAATGGACAGGCATTAACAAAATCAGCCAATTCATTCGGCATATATGGGGAGGGAAGCAATGATTCCCAGGTCTATGTCTGAACGAGTGCCAAAATTTTCTTTTGATGGCTTCCAAACCCTGGCCAGTTCTTTTGTCCTTGTCTTGAAACCTGAAATTTCTTCTCTCTTTACTCATTCCAAAGTTAGAAGGGGTATTTCAAAGTCATTCTCAACAGCAAGGTTGCTACTTTTAAAATCATATTTTGGACTTATTTAAGCTCATCACACTTCCTTTGCTCTTTCTGTTCTGCAGGGTCTTAGACCCATGAAGTTCTTAGTTGTGAGACCTATAAAGGGTAAAATAAAAAATGCAGAGACCATATTCGAAAAAGAGGCTGCTGATCACGTGATGTTTTACTACCACACGGGTCTTTCTTCATGATGGTGGAATCTTCCTGACTACAACAGAAGAACTTGTAGAAGAACCAGCAGACAAACTAGGTTTGGACAATGAAGAGAAAAAAAAGCAGGGTAGCACATGCGAAGGAGCATGTTCTGAGAAAGAATAAATTAATAAGAAAAAGAAGAAAATTTGGGACACTGAAGATTAAATGCTCAGCTTTTCACTTCCCATTCCCAAAGCAACTTGCTCCTTCTCACCATGGGATTTATGATCTACAAGTTGACTCAAGACCACTAGGATCAAGATATTTCTGCAAGCATGTACGGAAACCTTCCAGCACTGGTGATTCTTCCTTTCAGAAACGTTCTGGTTCCATAGTGCTCCCAAATTCACCTTCCCTTCATCCTTTTACTTCTTTTCTGCTCTGTTTAGTCAGCGTCCATCTGTCTGTAGATACCAAGGTGTCTCTATAGATGCTTACAGATGCTGAAAACAGCTACCTTGTTTGTCTCTACTTCCTTAACTCCCTACTAGCCAACTGAATTATTGCTTTCATTTATGCTTCCCATACGAAGGAGGTTTAGTTTTGCTTCCTCTTCCCATTGCACAGGCTCCTATCGGAAAGGCTCATTGCAGCTCTGAAAGAAGGAACAGGCTCCTGAGAAGCAGGACCAAGAAGGAAGAGCCCCTCTCAACACCCTTCTCAGCAATCTTCCCAGTCTTCTTGCAACACATATAAGAAATTCAGCGCCATGTCTTAAGAGCCCTACATGATACTGGATGGAGAAAATACCTGTGTTTCTTTTGTAAATAAACCATTCACTGGCTGCTAAGGCCTGATGGCACATGGCTTACACCACTGCCAGGCACATTCGGTCTGGCTATGTTTAATTAATAGAGTAAAACGTACAAATATTTTTTCTCTTTATTTTTTAACATGAACTGCTTAATGCTCTGCTTAGATGTTTCCT